TCAGGCATTGGAACAGGCTGCCCAGAGAGGTGGTGGAGTCCACATCCCTGGAGGGGTTCAAAAAACAGGTAGACGTGGCACTTTGGGACATGGTTTAGTGGGCATGGGGGTGCTGGGTTGATGGTTGGACTGATGATCTTAGAGGTCCTTTCCAACCTTAATGATTCCTAGTTTTTACTTTCATCAAATAAAAAATCCAGCCACCAAGCCAGGAAACATGAAATGATTACTCTTCCCTTAATTGGTTTAGTGGTGGAGTTGGTAGTGTTAGGTTAATGGTTGGACTGGATGATCTTAAAGGTCTTTTCCAACCTAAATGATTCTATGAATCTATATACAGATGTGTGCATGTGCACATGCAAATACAGTGCTATTGAGGGGAGAAGGTGAAGGTATGTGTAGGAACATGGTGTGCATAATAATTCTTGAAACCTAAAATAATTGCTCTGCACTTTCACCAGCCCCTATTGCAAAGCACATCTGTCTGCTTTACCTGCCTCTCTGCCCCTAAGCTGATGCCAGACCTTGATGGGATATTTGGCCTGAAAAGCCACAACCAGACCCAAGTGATGCCAGCTGGATCCCTTCTGCAAAGGGCTCTGCCTTGGCCACAGCAGCCCCATGGGAGCACTAAGATTTGGCCACAGGTACCCAGGCACCACAAAGGAAAGTGGGTCATTAGAGGAGAGGTGGCCTCATGGCCAGTGCTGGGACACGTGTCCTCATTGGGTATCTCCATAGCACGCAAGGGCTGGCCAGTGAGGCACGACCCATGGAATCGGGCAGGAGGGCAAAGGTAGGGCTTTGCTGTGTTGGTTGCTCTTTGGCTGTTCTTGGAAGGTGAAGTCCTCTCCCTTGTGCTAATGAACAAAAAATAACCTCTCTGTGGTCAATGTACCTGCTCTGCTCCAGGTATCAAACTTGGGCTGGTGATAAAGCTCATCTAGGGATGATCATCTAGAGATAGGACCTCCTACTTGCATTGCTGTAGGATATTTGTTTCCCCCACCGTGCTGCTGTGACATGTGCCCGTGTCCCCAAGAAAGCCCACGTCAACGCATCAACTGGAGCAACTCATAGGGAGCTTTACAAATTCATCTTACTTGAGGTCTTCGAGGCGGATGCTGTTTAATGATGCTGGTTTCTCCCTTTTCCAGCACAGTGTTGAAAGAAAGGGGCCCTTAAAGATTAGAGAAGAAAAGGAAGAAGTTACTTTTGGGTGATCATCAACTGCTAGACTGTAGTCAGGAATAGTTTTCTGCCCTTGTTTCTTGGTTGGCATGTCCTACTAATGTCTCTCGGTATACCCCAGTAACACATGGTGTAAGTTATTCTATTAGCTGCAGAAAGCAATACCTGTACCTGTGGTTTCTAACAAACGTCTGCCACGTACCTCTGCTACTTCCCTCTACACCATCTCATGCATCCTATATGTGACAATAACCACCTTCCATGTCTCCTGTGGCCTCCCAGAGCATTTAAAATGCGGAACAGGTGGCAGTTTGGATCTGTCCTTGCTACTCAGTCCCTGAGACCTTATTATTATTGTTATTTTTTGGTGGAACTGAGAAACACCTCTGACGCTTTTACTGACCGCAGCAGAGCTGGGCTACAGCCAGCCAGTGGGTTCAGAAGTTGGTGGGTTATGGACAGAGAAGTGGTATGACCACAGACCCTCATCGTCTTTGGAAATCAGCCTGAAATAACGTGCTACACACCAGCGATCACCTGTTAGTCATGAAAGCAGTGCTTTCACTGAGGCCTGAATGTGGTCTGGACTCCGGTCTGTTCTGTGCTGGTGCTCTTCTGTGGATACCGCTGCCTCTTTTTTTGTTGTTGTTGTTGCACAAGTAACTACTTACACATGCAGCAAGTATTTCTTTTACAAAAGAGTTTCTCTATCCCACGTATTGTCCCCAAAACCTGTCTTGGTGCATTCAAGTGCCATTTCATACGTGGGGTTGAGCGAGGCGTTGCTGAGCAGCTCCTGCTCCCATGTGGTGGGAGCCCTGAGGTGGCTGCAGGGGAGGAGAGTTGGGGATAAAGTGCAGGAATTGCATTACAGTTGATGCCAAACTTAATGGTTATATTAAAAAGACAAATAATAATTTGGAGGTCACTTTATGCGGAACTTCAGTGGTCCCTTTAAATGAGCCCCATGGAAGATTACCGAGGCAGGGCTCTTGGAGAAGGGAGAGAGGAGGTGATGGAAGGGAGGGCACTGGGGTGTGGGAGGAGATGGTGACTCTATCAGATAAATGATTGCTGGGCTCTGCTGAGCACCGGCAATGATTAACCGCTGGGCAAAGCTGCAGCTGCTCTGCATATGCAGAAATGGGTGCCTGAAGTGAAAATTTCCAGTGCAGGCAGCTCCTCCGGAGACAGACTTCAGCTGCTGGGGAGCACATGCTGAAATAGCAGCTTGTAATAGCAAAAGGCAGGGGGGGGATTAAGTTATTGCCTCTCAATCTGCAGGACAAATTAGTGCCTAAAGAATTTCTAAGGGGGAAGTAAAATGTAAGGAGGTGGCTCATGGTGCTGGGAAGGTGGGACCTGGCACAGGCAAGGGGCTGGGGCTTGGGACAAGCTTGTTCTGGCAAGGTGTACGGCTTTGGGGAAGTTATTTCTACCTTATGAGATTTTTTTTTTTCTTTTAATATATTTAAATTATTCCTACCCATGCATGTGTCTTGTAGGAGATTTGCCCTTACCTTCTACAGACACAGAACTGGGAGCCAGGTGCTCGCTGTCCCCAAACCTGCTCGGTCCTGGGGCAGGGGGGTCCCTGGCACACCCCCGTGATGCTGCCGGGGGGGACAGCGGTGTCCCCCCCCCACAGCCACCACTGAGGGAGCACGGGGCCCAAGCTGCAGTCATTCTCGTGACTTTTATTTTTCACCCTTGCACTTTAGATTCTCGGCAAGGATCCTCCCCGCTGGAGGAAGCGGGATTTAACACAAGCCAAGATGAACCCTCATAAACCAAATAAAACCTATTCTCTTGAAGGCTTTGCTTATTTGGACAGCAGCTCAAGCTAATACATCGCTCCAGTACTCCTGAGCATCCTCTTTTTATTTCTGAAAATGAAAAGTAATAGAAAATGACATTTATTGAGGGAGTTTCAAAGTTTTTTATGGAAGTACACGTTTTACAAGAACTTGTTAAATACCCAGTGATGATAATTTTCCAGAACAGGAATGTTTGGTTGCTCCTGCTGTCATGAAGTACTTGAAAACCCCTGTTGTACAGCCAGACCTGATCTGTATTTGCTGCAGGACCTCTGGCTTCGGGAGCATCACTGCTATCGCACCAGAGGTTTATTTGCTTTCACCTTCTCCTGATGCCTCTTGGTGGATGATTTTGAAGGAAATATCCAGCCCCTGGTGAAGCAGCAGTGCTTAATGCTGTTTGGCATGTGTCAGAAATTCATTTGTGGAAATGGAAAAGAGGGGAGGGGGTGCTAGGGCTGCAGATCCTCCTTCTTCTGCGTTGCCCTTCCTCAAATCACGTTGGTGTTCATGGGGGTTTCTTCCTACGGTCACCTAACGTGGCTGTGGGAAGCTGTCTGCCACCATCCAGCTTGTTGTACGGAGCTACGCACCTGCTTTCAGTTGGGTGCAAACCTCCCTCCTTGCCTCCGGGAAGGGTTTGGCTATGGATGGAGTCTAAGCCCTGCTGTGAAAGGCTGCAGGAGAGGCTGTACGGTGCCACTCATAGAAAAACACGCAGAGCTACGCTATTTGCCTTCCTCTGCCTCTTGGCTTATGAAATTAGCCCTGTGCGAGACATGGCTATAATTTATTTTAATGTTGAATTTTACCTGCTGAGCACATTACCCAGAATCTAATTCTAATTAAGCTAATGATATTGATATGCCCAGTGGCAGCAGGTGAGCGGAACAGGTGTATAACCAGGAGTTACGGGGCTGCTGTAGAAGGGCTTGCTCGGATGCAGGCTGGTGTCACTGCATGCCAGGTCAATGCTGCGCAGTGGGGCTGTTCCCAGGGGGATGACCGGTGGGAGTAAGGAGCCTGGGATTTGGGCTCTGGTGACTGAGACGCTTTTCAAAACAGGCTGAGGGGGTGGCAGGAAATGAGTTTTCCCAAAGCTAAAATGTCCTGGGAATGGCAAAAAGCTACTGATGCAGAATGGCACGTGCACAGACCTACACCCACCCCGCGCTGCAGCAAGCAAACCCATGGCCCCAGCTGATGCCCAGTGGGTCTCCGCCCTGCGCTTCGCAGTAATTCGTTGGTGACCCCCTTACCTGAAGAGGCTCTCCCATACCAGGTCTCCCGGAGAGGTGGAAGTTGCCAGTGAAATGTGGGTTTTCCCCACTCCGCTGCGGCCGGTGGATGCAGGCTGGGCTCTCCGGGCAAGCTGGAGAGCCAGAATGGGGTGGTGAGAGCAGGCAGGTCCTCCCCGCCATGCATTGGTGCCACCTTGGTCACCTTGGGGTGCACCTTGGAAGAGCCCAGGCCCATTTTGCAGAGCAGTGGCTTTGAAAGGAGAAGGAAAACCTCTCCCTGGACACGGAGGGACCCTTGCAAGCGACCGCGGTTCCCGGGGAGCTCGCTGCTGGGGCTGGGGCTGTCTCCCACAGACGTGCCCACACATCCTTCCCTGCTCGGTTAAACATTGACCTGGCCCCGGCCATTCCCCCGCAGGGACAAGAGGTGGCTGCTGCTGACGGAGGAGGGGAAAGCAGCTCGGGGAGCCAGCGCCAAGCCCTGGGGAAGCTTTGGGGTTTTTACCTACAAGTGATTTTTCAACTGGGGCACCACCTCAGCTGGTCACTGGCTGACCTGGAGGTATTTCTACAAGAAGCTCTTTTGCTAAATCTTCAGGTTTTGGAGGGAAATTCAATCCTCGGAGCACCAGAAGGGTTAAAACATCTCCCACCCTGCATTGGGGAAGCAGCCTGGGGACAGGGGCTGCCAGAGGAGCATCTTCCGCCTTTGCTCCTGCAGGCCAGTAGCACTGCTGGAAAAAAATGCGGCTTTAGCACAAACCCACCTGAAAACATCAGCCAAAGTGAGTCATGTTCTGCAGCTTTGGAGCTGCTGCAGGATATGGGCCAAGCGCAGCAGGATCGGTGCATAAGGGAAAGACCTACACATCTCTGTTTTGTGTCTTCCTTTCCATTCCCAAGGAGAATGAGGGGGTTCAGAGGGCACAGGTTCCTCGGAGCTCTAGGGAGTCAGTCGTTCATTTCCAAGGTGGAATGGTTGGAAAAATACGTAGGGAGGATTATTTATGCAACACGTTTAGTATTGCAGGGTGGGGTTTTTGGCAGGAATAGGGTTGCGGGAGGAGGTCGGAGCACCTGTGGGCTCTGCTGTGGAACACGTGGAAACCAGCAAACGCTGAGTGTGGGAGGGAGACCCCAACATGTGTCAGAGCCACGGTTCATTTAGCAGAAGGTCATCCCACTGGGATTTCTGGAACTATCCTGTATGTTTGGAGCAGTCGGGGCCTCTTTTGGCTTTTCTCTTGGGAGAGGAGTGCTGGGAGGAGGGTTCCGCAGGGAAATGAGGATCACTGCAGAGCCAAGTGTCCAGCACTCATGGCTGGTAGATCCACGGATAAACCACTCAGCTCCCCCTTGATGGAAACGGGGAGGTTTTGAGCTGCAAAATGCCACCAGCCAGGGGTGGCACCTCCCAGAAAAAATTATTCATCCCTGGAGTAGCCCAGCCAGTTCATGTTTCCAGCCGCAAAGCACCAACATCACTTGTGACTTTGGTTTACAATGTGACACACAGGGCATGAGGGAGCAGAGAAGCTTAGTCTGTAATATTTTTTTTCCCCCTTCTTTTTCAAATGAAAATATGAAATCAACACTCTGCATCCCTCCTGAGTTTCTCAATGCTTAATGTTTGTGTTTTTTTTTTTTTCTTCCCTTTCCCACTCCCCTGCTGAGAACAGGTAATTCCTGTTAAGCAGCTTGGGAAGACTGTGGATTAAATGCAATGATGGATGTGTCGGAGCAGTGGAAAACCCCCATGGATGTTAAAGCTAGCGCCTGTCATGCTGTATCTGGGGGTTTCACCGGGGTGTGATGCTGTGGCACTGGCCCTGCTGAAATCCTCGCAGGGTCCCACTGCTCCCCGTGCTGCCAACCCCACTCTCTTGGCCGGGTTTCCCTCCCTGTCAGATGGGTTTCCCCCTCTGCCGTGCAGGACGGCACCACAGCCTGTTGCATGGTGATTTAGGGAAGGGGATTGCAAAGGGACAGACATACCTGGGGCTGACGCTGCTCCAAGCACTTCATCTGGCGGAGCTCTAGGTGAAGAGATGTTCCCTTTTGCATTTAAAGGTGATGCAGCATCCTTCCAACCGGTTCACGAGTGCTGGGCCCCACCTCCCCTGCTGCGGTACGGCTCTGTGGTACCCATGCCCAAGGATGTCAGCCTGACAGCACTGCTCAGCACCTTGATGCTGCATCAGTTAATGACTGGTATCTCCCAGCAAATCCTTAAAATCTCAGCATCTGTGTACTTTGGAGCGGTGCTTTGATCTCCACATGCCTTTACTTTGTAAAGCCAAGAGGGCCAAGAGCAGCAGCTGCGGGTTTGGGGCAGTGGGAGGAAGGCAGGCTGCAAAAAGATGCCCTTCCTGCAGGTTGCTGGGGCAAACCGAGAGCAAGCTTGCGGTTGAACTGGGTCCCAGAAGGGCCCAATGGTACTGCAAGAGGCTCCCAAATATTATCACTTCCAACTGCTGGCCCAAAATTACCCCTTCATGTCTTTACCTGGGCTCCCTGGACCGTGGTTGTGCAGGGTGTTGGGGTTTGCTGGGTGAGCCGTCCGTGTGTGGTGGTAGAGACCGTGGTTATTGGCATCGTTTCAACCTGCTCGGCTCGAGGGTGAGTGGTGACAGCCCCGCTACAGCACAAAGTAATCCCGTGTTAACCCCCTCGCTTAAACCTGTCTTTAAGGCCAGTTGATGGGGGGAAGGATGGGTTGAGGCAAGCCTGAGCTTCAGGCTGGCTTCATCACTGCCCTCCTGGTGATGTGAAGCTCATCCTTTTCTTTAACTTTAATGCAGCCTTCTATCTGTAGTGAAGGTTCCGTTGGATTCCCAAGCGCTGTGCTGTAGAAACATGGGGCTGGAAGGAGCTTTGGTCCCATACATTGCTGTTAGGGACAGCACATGGTCCCTCCCAGGAGAGTGAAAACTTTCTCCCACTTCATTTACTGCCTGAAACCCTCCACCAAAGTGAGCTGGAACCTGTAAGTGACGCTGTTGTTGCCAGAATTGGATTTTCCAGCAAATTTATTGCAGTCAAAATGAAATCATTGACTCCTAAGTGTTCCGATGCCTTTGTTTTAAGGAAGATACAGGGAAAAGCCCAAGGGTAGGGCAGTGCTGTGACTGGGGGCAGGGCATGTTCCCCACAGAGGAGCAGTTCGTGGAGCAAAGGCGAACCAAGGGGAGGATTTGGCACAGGGCACCCATCTAAGGTCCAGCCGCAGCAGTGGATTGCCTCTGCCTTGAAACTTCTCCTTGGAAATGAATTTTTAATTACTGTCACAGCTCTGCGTGTGGCTTTCCACAGTGTGCAAGATGTGCCAAACCATGGGGAAGGCAGCCACTTGTCAGAGCATCATGGCTTGTCATGGAGATCGGGGAGAGGGGAGGAAGCTTAAGGTCCAAAAGCAAAACAATGGGGGGAAAAAAAAATCCCCAAATGCCAAGATGTAGTGGTGTAAGTAGGATGAGAAGAAACAGCCTCAAGTTGCACCAGGGGAGGTTTAGATTGGACATTAGGGAAAAATTCCTTCACTGAAAGGGTTGTCAAGCATTGGAACAGGCTGCCCAGGGAAGCGGTTGAGGCACCATGCCTGGAGGTATTTAAAAGACGTGCAGATGTGGCACTTAGGGACATGGTTTAGTGGTGGACTTGGTAGTGTTAGGTTTGCGGTTGGACTCTGTGATCTCAAAGGTCTTTTCCAACGTGAACGATTCTGTGATTCTAAGTGTGCATGGTCGGGTAAGTGTTTCCTATCCCCTTTGTCTTCTACCTGCTGGGAGGGCAAATGGAAGAGATGGGTTGCAGCAACCCGATGTGTTGCAGAGATTGATGCAGGTTTTGCCCTCGAATCCCAGGAAACATGGGCACAGGAAGAGATGGAATGTAGGTGGCACGGATTTCTGCTGAAATAACAGCTGGGGTTTATGGAAATCTCTGGTGAGTAAAGCAGAAGGAACCGTAACAAGGCAAACAGGCTTGTTGTCATTTATTATGCTTGCAGTGCGTTTAGCTAGCGATAGCATGAACAAGCAGAGCAGCGAAGGGAGGAAAATAATCCAGCACCGTTTCACTGGCTGGGCTGCACATCGGTGCGACTAATAGATCCTGTTATTACACATCTGTAAAGTCAAGAACTACGGCTCGTTCCTCCCTCTGCTGCTTGTTGCTTGTATTAACAGGCGACGTTCATCTTATCCCAGCCAAGGCTGAGGGTAGCGGCGGTGCTGAGATAACACTGTCCGCGGTGCCTGGTCGCTGAGCCCTCTGGAGAGGGCGCGCGCAGGCGGCGATGCTCGAGGCGGGTTATTCGCAGCACGTTTTATTTTCCTTCCAGAAAGCCGGGCCCTGGTGTGAAGGAGAATCTGATAATGCAGCTGCCGGATGACAACTGGCGTTTTCCTTGGGGTGCAAACGAGACGGTGCAGCTGAAATGAAACCCTCGCGTTGCTGGAGACGATAGAGGGGCTCATCAGAGATGCCCACGGCAGCAGAAGTAACCACATCTGATCGGTCACTTGATGGGCGTGATTATTGGTTTGCATTCCTCAGATGGGTCATCAATGCGGTTGTGCAAAATAGCCTCCATTTATTGTCTGATTTCTTGGGTTTAATGGGTTTTCTCCGGCTGAAAGGCTGAGCTGCGCTCAAGGGAAAACAATTACCTTCCTCGCTTAGTAAGAAAGATGAACTGCAGTTTGGGCAGCGGGTGAACGAGGGGGCCTTAATGAATTGCTGAGCAGGATGAGCACTGCTGGAAAGCATCTGGGCACGATGCAACTGAGGGATTAGGTACCTGCTTGCCTCTGGGGATCTGGGACACCTGTGGCTACCACAGTGGAATGTTGCCCGGAGCTGATGGTAGGAAGGACGCAGGAGCAAACCCCTCCTGCCCACCCACAGCAGGGGCTGGGGGGAGCGAAGTGGTGGAAGAGGGGAGAAAGCCTTCTGCAGCTCCGGTTCGACCCTCGGCGCCATTCGCTCTACAGGCAGCAACGTGGGGGATGCTCACCCCTAGCAGAAAGCTTGGGTTGGGTCAGACATTGGCTGTTAAGCCTGAGATGAGGCGGAAGGTGGCCGCCGGGCTCAGAGCTGTGCGTCTTTCCTGCCTGCAGAAAGGCAAGGGTGATCGCAGGTCCCTGGGGATGGGACGTGCACGGGGTGTGCTCGTAGAGAGTGACAGGCTGGCACAGTAACACACTGTGCCCCTGGCCATGAAACATCTCAAGT